TCATATTAACGCCAATCAATATCTTGCACTACTGCAGTGTGGAATCCAACTTCTCTGCTTTGTCCCATATAATGAGGAATAACCATATGATGATGAGGGATTAGCAGAGGAATCGTCTCCTCATGTAGCTTTGTTTCTTTACAAATAAGAAAACTATTATAATCTGTGCCAAAATAACATACATAATTAATCGAAGAACCTTGAAGGTGAATCAAACTTTGCATAATTCTAGCATTGAACAAAGTGTCTTGCAACATCCCTACAAGGTGGTCCCCAAAGAGCACACTGGAAATCATACCAAGGCATGTGAGGATACTTGCTTTGGTCCACCTCATCTTTCATTGTATCTTCCCATGAATTTGGTTCAAACTCCCTTAATTGACAAAAGGAAGTTAAATTTAAATTTGAAAAAGAAACAAATTCAGTGTAGGGTCTAAGTAATTAGCATAATATAATAAATTTACCTTGGATTATAGTAGTCATTTCAGGACAAACCAAAGGAGGATGATCACTAATTTGGTATTTGGAGTTGTCGAAGTGGCCAAAGCACAAATCAAGTCACCCCAAATAGCAAACTAGATTATCAAGTACCAAGATTTTCTCATGATGGGACCTAAAATGGATGAGAATTTTAACATGAATGGGCATTTAAAAAAGAAAATTAGTATATTTTTGCTAGAAAATCATTATGAAGTTTTAACTAGTACAATGGAATACTACCAAAAATAAATGCCAGTTGAAAAATGATATGGATAATGCAAAACTTTCACATTTTCATGAAAGGTCAACAGTCTTCGCTTACTGTATACACTATTAATTTTCAAGGCAAGAGTGACTTCTTTGTAGAGAATGATGCAAATCTGCACATTGTTATGAAAGTCTGTATAGGTTGCTAGATCTAAAGAATTATCCCAAGACTAACTAAGAGGGGGGTGAATTGATTATATAAATCTTGAAAATTTTATAGAAAACCATTTTTATAATTTTAAGCATAATAAAAGTTTTAACAAAATAAAAACTTTTCAACCACAAAATTAAAATCATAGAAAATAAAAATACAGTAAAGTAAAAACACATAAATTTATAGTAGTTCGGTCCAACTAAACCTACATCAACTTCTTGAATACTCCCTCTTCAAGTATTGTACTATTACCAAAGTGACTCTCATTTTGCTCTCACAGCAAGACAGAGAAGCATTTACAAAACACCTCTCTTTCACCAATCCCCGGCATGGCAGAGTACCATCATCCTTTCACACTCTCTAAGTTTCACCAGAGAACCATCATCCTTTCACACTCTTCAAGTATCAATAGAGAACTGTCGTCCTTTCACACTTTCTATGTGTTGGTAGAGAACTATCATCCTTTCACACACTCCAAGTGTTAGAAAAGAATCGTCATCCTTTCACACCCTCTTGGTGTCGGTAGAGAACCGAATCTTCTTCAAAGATCTTCTCTCGAGCAACTTCAAAGTATCAAGGAAGAGATTCGATAAGACTTACAAAGAGATCCTCACCTTTGGGCAACCTTGTGAACCCTTCACAAATTTCACTTGCAAGATCTCTCTCCACACTCTTAAACACTCTCCCAAAGCATTCTCACACTTGCTCTCAAAGAAAAAATAAAGATGGATTTGTTCACAGTAAGTTTTTAGGACCTTATATATGAAAGACACAAAAAAATCATCCGGAAAATTGAAATTTTCAATTTGATCGTCCATGATCGTACAGTATGATCAACGATCATATGTATGAATAATTCAAAATTTGCTCGTACGATCTAGTATGAACAGATTTTGTACTCTGAATGATCTGTGTATGAACTGATATTATATAGTATGATCAGTTCAAAATTGAACAGATTTGTCCAGTACAACTTAGTACGAAATGATTTCATACTCTGAATAATATATTGTATGAAATCCATATCATACAGTACGATATGTTTTAATCAAACCATGTTTCATTTGGTATAAAAATGGATGAGTCCATTTTATACTCTAGAAGTTATATGTATGATCCTTGGATTGTACATTATGAACAGTTCAAAAGATTTAGCTGTTCACATAGATAAAAAGATATGCAAACATTTCGTACTCTGGACGTCGTATATGTGAACCTAAAATTGTATAGTATGAATAGTGCAAAAAAATCAGGAGTTCGTCTGGACGAACTTGTACATATCCATTTTATACTATGGAAGTCATATATATGAAGCTAACTTCATATAGTACAAACAAGACTTAGAAAATTTTTCTAGCATGATTCGATTAAATGCATTCTGGAGGAAGGCTTAAGACAAATTGTCCCGTATGATCCAAAATTGTATAGTACGATTAGTTGTAAAAAATTTATAAATTTTTACACTCCCCCAATGTGTGTGTGCACGGTTAACCAATTACAATCACACTCTCTCAAACATAAGAAAGTATAAAAAGTATAGACTTCAAAAATAGTAAACCTTAATCTAATCTGATTTGAAGTCTTCAGCAGTCAGGAGTATGAATTTCCTGAAATGTTAGTACACACAAACAACAAAAGCAATATTTTTAATATATGTTAGGAGAAACAGTAGTCAATACAATAATATTTTGGATTAATCAAAAACACACATGATATGAAAACATAGTTATGAAAACTAAGTTGTAACATGTTAGACGTCATACACATGATGTACTCCCAACTCACCTACCTTTTTACCCCCACAAGGTCCCCAACCCAATCATAGAGGTGGAATGTGCAAAATGGATCAGTGATCATGAGAATAAACCAAATCAAATAAGTTTAAGGATATGATATCAATTAGTCATATAATATGTAGACTAAAATTAAGAGAATAATATTATGAACGAGATGTCTTCTTATTTTAACAAGCATGATGTTAAAAAGAAGCCTAAAGATGCTGCTAATTTTTGTTTAATAAACATACAAGGTAGAATTTCTTCCTAATAGACTAACTGCAGGTATCCTTCAAATTATACAGATCAGACAAAATTAATCGCTTAAAAAACTTCCATCTCGTGATCTTGCTACAAGTAAATGTCTGAAACAGAAGAAGGTTAGAAAGCAATATATGTACAAACTTTATTAACAAACCTGCTACATGTTATGATGTAAAAAATAGAGAATATGAATGAAGTTGCTTCAAGTGAATACATTATTAATTCCTTTGCTGCCAATATACTGGAAAAGCTTATCAATAGAAGCATCCATGAAATTGTTGACCTCTATAGGCATAAAAAAAGTTCAAATGAAAAAAATATACAACATACCTATGCTGAAATTCCTCTGAGGGTCTGCCAAGAATCCCAAAAATTCTGCTTACCTCATACAGATCGGCGCTGCTCCAGTCTCATCTCCATAATTCCTGCTCAATTTTTTGCAATCCGTAGCCACCCTCGTCATTAAAACCAAAGCAAAGTGAAGCTTCATGGGGTTGTTGTTTTCCCGCACACAAGCATCTCTCCACAATCCTTCTTTCTCCTCAACCAAAATCACTACACGTCCATCTTTGCCTCCTCCGAACCCAAACCCATGAACATATCTCCTTTCTCGAATGCCCTCAACCGCAAGTCTTCCAACCTTTCTTGTTGGATCGGAGGCAATCATAGGAGCTAGCTCATTGCAAAGCCGTAGCTCACATGATCAAGCCTCCAAACTGACCTCCCCATCTTCCCCTTCTTCGCTTCCTCCGACTATTCTCCTGTCCACGACATCAATCATGAACCCAATCAAGCGACCAAACTCCATTTAACCAAATCCCCACAATTAAATCTAACCATTACCTGCTTCGACCTCGTCTCTTCCTGTCAACCCCAATCCCGATCTCTTTATATTGTTGAGGGAAGAAGAGAGAGAGAAAGAGAGAGAGAGAGAGAGAGAGAGAGAGAGAGAAGAAGAGAGAGAGGGAGAGAGTGATCGACCTCCTCCATATTGCCCTACTTGGCTCTTTGACGATGTCCCTTTTCTAGTTGGATCGAAAGTTACACAATTTAAATCGGAAGTAAGGGGTGTTGGTATAGGATTGGATTCAATTTTAGTAGGATTTACTAAATCCTGTAAATCCGGGTTTAGTAAATCCTGGGCTCTTAAATCCTGGAATTGTGTTTGGTATGACAATTTTTAAATCCAGTTAAATCCAAAAAGATGTTGGCAACATATTACAGGTTTAAAACAGTTGGAGATTTAAAATTTGAACGAGTAATATAAAAGCCACTTAATTCGCTTCCGCATCAAGTTATAAAGTGTTTGCCATTAAGGAAATAACTAATTATTTAACTAATAAGCTTACTAATATATTAATTAATAATTTAAGTACTATTTTATCAGTAGTAATTATAAATTTATTATTAATTATCTCATTAATCGCTTAAGAATTCTAATGCTCATTAAATATTAATTATTATTTATTATATTAATTATATGTTTAATAATTTATTTTAAATTATATTAATTAAGATAATTATAGTGAATTTTAATTGAGTAATTATATCACTAACTATTTAACTAAGTTAAATTTAGATAATTAATTTATACACTAATTATACAATTAATTATTTAATTAATTTACTTAGGTGTTAATATTTTAAATTATATAATTAATTAAGTAATGAGTAATGGCTTGAGGCATCTAGGTTCGCTTATTTAATTCTTGCTCATTCTTCGTTCGTTCTTGGCTGTTGGCTTCGTATGCTCACAGCTGTAGAGATTGCATGTGTTTCTTTGGCCCCTTCGTTGCTTGTTCGACTGTGTGTAGCTTCGTTGTTGGTTGACTGTGTGTAGAGATTGCACGAGTTGTTCTTCGGCTCCTTCGTTGTCGTTCGACTGTGCTGCAGAGATTTGCACGAGTCGTTTCTTCGGACGTTACAACATTTAATCTGAAGCAACGATGGTAGCTCGCTCGTGTGAAGGTAACTTCTCCCTTTCGCGCGCGTTTCTTCGGCTAAATCCCGTTAAAATCCGACTTCTAGCGGATATAGGATTTAGCGGATTTACACCGCAAATCCGGGATTTACGGATTTGCCGGATTTACCGCCGACTTTTTTTTTTCGTTTGCAGGATTTACCGTAAATCCTACTAAAAAACTCGATATAAATCTGACAAAACACCCCTAAGAGTGGGAGTTGTTTGCTATGAAGGTAACTTCCCCTATTTTGTGTGCTTCTTCGGTAGAATCCCCCATCTAGCCGAAATCTCCATCGCTTGTACTGCCAAATCCCTTCGTCTGTCTGACCTAAACCTGTCAAAGGAAATAAATCCCTCTGCTCTCCTCCAAGTCGAAGCCATACCCGACATATTCAAGCCCTTATGTTTACTTTGATTCAACCTTAACTCAACCTCAACTCACCCCAACTCACCCAACTCAACCATCTAAACTCATTCACTTAGCTAAGGTAGCTCTCTCTCTCTACACACACACACACACTCTCTCTCTCTCTCTCTCTCTCTTCTTATATAATATATATATATATATATATATATATATATATATATATATATATTATATATAATTATATATATATATATTATTTGTTGATGTGTGTGTGTGCGCGCGCGCGCGCCGCGCAGTGTGTGTGTAATTTCAAAAAAAAAAATGAGCGACAATAAAAAGGGAGAAGTGGAAAAAAAAGAAAAGAAAAGTGCAAAATGAGATTAAGAAGAAGAAAAGAGTGCTTTAAAAAAAAAGAGAGTAAAAAGAAAAATTTTGTCTCGATTTTTATGACCTCCATCCCACTATTCCCACACCAAGGTATAACCCCTCTAAACCCTAAAATCGGAGAACTCACCTTCGACACTTGCAATGCGACAAAATGACCAGCTATATACACTTTTGTTAGCGTGGTGGGAGGAAGTGCGTTGCAATGCTCATGACAAAGCGGGAGATTAAAAAAACCCCCATTTTGGTGTTTGCATCACACTGAAAAATTGTTTATACACGCCTTTATTATGCGTGGTGGGATGGGAACCCGGTGTAATGCCTACGGCAATGCGGGGTTACTTATAAGTATCCTCGAGTAGGGGAAAAGCCAACTATCTTTTAAAACAGGTACCCTCAAAGACCCCAAAAACTCTTTTATTAGCGTGGTGGGAAAGAAGATAGAACCGCAGTGTCTACGAACACCTACTATATACACATTTATTGTGCATGGTGGGGAGGCCTACTTTCTCAAGTTTTCCCTAAACGCGGGTGGGGATGCTGGGAGGCTATTAAAATATGCACTGAAGGGGGAATATACTTAGCTTGAATTGAACAAAAAAATCTACATGGGGCTTGAACCTACTTTGAACAACATTTGGATAATAGGGAATTCATATCAAACCCAAATAAACTTGAATTTGAAATGACTCTTGAACTAAAACTCGAGCAAAATAATATAAGCCTTGAACATAAATGAGCATGAACTCAAGTTGGACTTCATATGAATATTAAGCTGGCAAGACTTGAATATTTGAACTCAATCTAAGACTTGAGTTGGATTATATAGGACTTGAACAAGACTTTGGACACAAAGGACTTGGACTTGAAATGAACCTAGACATTGAACTTAACTATAGTTTGAATATCAAATGAATGGTATGAAGCATAACTTAAATGTCTAAGAGAAAACTAGAAATATGGCAAAGTGACAATGCTAATCATGTCAGCAAAGATCTGTGGCAAATGCAATAATATCTCTATGTCCAATGTCATCGTACAAGCAAGCAAGTGGAAGGTAAAATCTCAATGCATGCGAAAGATGATTGAGAAAACCCAAATGACTTAGAATATTCAACCAAGTTAACTTGTAAATGAGAGCAAGCGATACTTATGCCATTCATGCAATCTAAATGTTACCAAAGGGGTTTCAACATTCAACGGACTAGAGTTCAATTTGATATGCAATGCAATGAAAATACAAGAATTGTTGACTAGAGCTACAATATTCGAGTGAATAAGCAACAAATCTCCAAATGTTATAATGATCATTATTGATTAATGAGAACATGCGTTATAATTATAAATAGATGCATAAAGATGTTCCAATAGGTACTTTAAATCATATATAAGTATTGGAAACCAAGGTGTCACATTTGTGACAGTCTTGCAAGAAACTATGACAAACAATAGTGCATAATGAATATGGAAATTGATGTGTTCAATGTGTCTGAAAGCCTATGACGAGTGTTAGGATACTCATGTCGCCTTCAATATTGTGGTAGAAAGTAAATGCACATATCCCCTTACAACAGAGGGATTTGACATGGAACGAATACAACAACATTCGAATAATCGATGTCAACCTGCATATGAATGAATACACTGTTCTACCAAAAAATCAAATTGTTTGAGATGATGTGTAGCCCTCCTATAATCAATGCTAATCTCCTACGAGTATACGATCAATATGTGACGAAGGTGATACATAAAACAATACTTTTAACATGAAAGCAATATTAAGAACATAATAACTTGTTGAATGATGTGTAAAGAGATTATTAATGGAGATAATGCAGCCAGAAATCAACATAGAACTATTAATATGCATACTGATTTATGTACCAACAATGCAGATTCCTACAAGCCACCATAAGAAGCTCACTGTGTGTAAAGGCATTTTCCTACAAGTGACGACAACTTGCCAAACTGAATGTAACGATACCTTACAATTCATATGCAAGCAAGAACTATAGAACTACTATAGAAATTATTACATATGAGCAAATGCAAAAGAATTACAATAGAAGACATACAACAAACACTACAACACCCCTACAACCAACATTAATCAAATAAAATAGCTTCTTGCAAATTTGTATAGTGGAGTTCACAATGAATGTAATAATGCTCCTACAATCAATAACCATCCAGGGGAAAATACAGAAAAATAACTGCAGGAAATACAAACCCCTATGAGCTACCATAGGAGACCCATTATACATCCAATGCATTGCCTACATGCAGATTCAAGCAGAACCAATGTAGATACAAACACCCTTTGGCAGTGACAGCAGGTTCGACAAAACCACAACAAGCCTATGAGCCACTGAAGGAGGCCATTATACATTCAAGTCGCTACTTACGAGAAAATGTGGAAAGATTTATAATACGTATAATCTCTCTATGAATACAGATGTATGTATAATATGCCACCTATGGACAGATGCAAAAATACTTTAATAAATGCAGTATCCTGTAGTCAATTTTTATCTACGAATGAATACATCTATCTGCAGCAGTAGTGGATGTGTTGTAAAGACCAAAACAATAGCGAAATGCATAAAGAATATAACAAATGCAAGTTTCTATAAGCTTCTACAATAGTAAGAGATTCATTAGTGCAATACAATCTACCTGCATAAATCATGCAAGTAGCGCACGATAGTCTACATGTATACAGTGGGCAAATGACTAAAGTATTACTCCATGCCACCGAATCCACAACATCTTTGCAAGAGGATAAAAGGCGTGTACAAGCATCCAAATAGAATGTTACATTCAAATGGCAGTCAACCGCACAACTGATCAGCATCAAGATATTCAAACACATGCACTATAACATGTATGCACATAGGTACATAGAAGGGGATGTATAATATAACCCGCATAGGCCCCGACAAGCGTGTTGTACAAACACATGTGATGTCAAGGGATGCTATGTGGGTCAATAAATTTGAACCCAATCCTCTTAAGCAAGTAAATAGGAGTCGATAAGATTCAACAAATAATTATAAAATGCTCCCAAATACCCACATGGCCCCCGACGAGCATGTTGTGGAACACACTGATGTTTAGAGATGTTGTACATGTCAATAAATTCAAACCCGATCCTCCTAAGTAGGTAAATAAGAGTCAAAAAAGTTTAGTACATAAGTATAAAATGCCCCCCA